TCTTTTTAATAATACCAAGAACTAGAAAGGAAAGAATTAATCCGAAGATTTCGAAATCTTTTGTCAATAATTTTCTTTTGTTTTCGACATTATTATTAATTATACAACAATTAATTTTATTTTATTACACATTTAAGAATATGAAACGCTCGATGTACTTAACATGCACTTTTCTCTTTTTATAAAATTTTCAATTTATATTCCTGAAAATAATTTGCACTATTTTATTACTAGTAGATATACTTTCATAATTTTAATATTTAAGAGTATGAAAAGTTCGATGTAGTGAACATTTTTTGTACTTTTTCCTTTTTACAAAATTTTTCGCTGGACGGAAAGAAGCGTATTTATTCTTGAGAGCACTTTTTATTACTAGTAGATATATATTCATAAAATCGTTCTTCACGCTGTTGATCGCAACTTGGCATGCACGTGCCGATTGCGTTTATTGCTTAAGTCGTTCGCCTTCACTTTTCAGTGCAATCGGACCGCTTAATAGAACTCTGAAAGCTTTTCCAGAGGTTCTCCTCACGCTATTTCTCTTCCGCGTTATTAAGTTGAAAATTGATAATTCGCGTAACAGGAGGGAACTGTTACGGAGCCGTTACGTTTTACGATTGCGAACCTGTTACGACGTACCTAATTTAAAGAGCGCTCGTTCTGCATTTTCAGTGGTTACAAAGACTTCAGATTTTGTCGCGTTTTTTCCGTTCTTTTTATATAGGTAATCAATTTTTGAAATGTGAGACCTTGAAAGAGCATTTTTTTTTTAGGAAAGAGATTAGCATATGGAGCACGTATTTAAGTGGTATTTAATGTTCAGCCTTTCGTTTTTGTCCGCGCCACTGCACTGTGCTGATTCCGAGATTGAGTTTTAATCCTAAACCCCTAATGTATATAGGTATCATCTCACAAGGGCTTTTGTTCATCGTCGAATAATCCCACCCTTGTTCAAATAATCTGTACGCCGTTTCTTCCGGCTATGTTCTTCGACCGATATACCACCTGCGCCAATGGAGTTTACGTAGCCATATACAGGGTGTATCGAGCTTCGTTATTTTACTCATTTATTTTAGGTTTACGAATTTCAGCAATTTTTACTTTGTAAAAGTTTCATCGATTTCTTGTTTTTTAAGATTGTGTGTGTTTATATTAAATATATCACATCTTTAATTACTTGAAGCAACTTGAAATTGGATAAATAACTTGTTCATTTTCATCGCAAAAGAAAACTTAAGAGGGCCATGTAATTTAAAACTCTGAACTTCTAAATTAAGAATTATTGCCTGTAATTATGAAAAAATTTAACGTATAAGATCAATTTGTCAAGGAATCCGACATTTAAATCCAATTACTTGTACTTTATACTTTCCTCTCTCAGTTTTAATTGCTTAAAAACGGATCGCAATCATGGAAATTTTGTCGTTCACCCTATATATCTCATGGGGAGGGCGGTGGTAGTCTGCGTGGCGACGTCGAAGGTCGATACCGCGCGCTAGTCCACCATCAACGGTTCCCGTCATGTCTCACCCTTCGATAAATGTTAAAGGAGAGAGGTTCTCTTCCAAAGCAGTCGCCAAAAAGGGGTAGGAAAGAAGAGGATCTTCGGTAGCCTCTCCTGCGAAGGGCTCTCGCGAAATGATCAATAGGGAGAGTCGTAATTTCCCTATCACGCGTCTCGTTGGACATAAAATTGCAATTTCGCCCCGGCCAACAGCCAGATGACCTACGAGTTCTAATATCCGCTTGTAATGATCGCACGAGGATATCCTCCCACGAGCGACGAGACGCTGTTACACCGGTAATGGCATTTACCTTTACGATGCGGCGCGGACGCTTCGCGGTGAAATTGTTTTGGAGATTGAAATCCCGTGCGCCGCTGGACCACGCTAGTTTAATCCGACAGCAAACATCCGCAGTGGCATTATTAATTCAACAGCTATGATAGATCGCTTGACGTTCATTTGATCTTGAGATTTACGAGACCTGCATACAAAAGAGACGTCTAATACGAATCGTATTCATGAGGGACGGGCCTGGGTATTATTTTCTCTATTTAATTAATACATTTTTTTAGTATCTCCAAATGATAGGATTTGGAGAAGGGATTTCTTGATCCTCTTTACTCTTTTTTTTCCGATGACAACTTTAATTAAAAAAAAAGCTCGATTACACAATGAATTATTTATAACTTTAACAGTTGATAATTTAGAAGTATTCTCCTGCCTTAATCACAAAGATAATGGAGAACAACGATTTAGTATTCGTGACGAAATTATTTTGCAAATTGAATTTCTCGACGTCGGGGTCGTACTGATTTAACCCGATGGCAAGTACCTTTATTATTAATTTACACGCGAATGTCCATCGCTCGAACCTGATATAGAGAAGGAGAGAAATCTTATATGAGATCCACTCGGTGGAAATGTAGAAATTCTTTTTCTCCGCGAAACGAGAAACGTTCTTCATCCGGATTAGTCGATCAGGATCATTAATGACCCGAGCTGTCTTATCCGCTCCAATTCCAAGTTGTCGATACAGTATTTTCACATTCGCCATCCTGAATGAAACTAAATTCGTTAGTCGTGTCACTGTCTCGAGAACCCTGAACTAGGACAAACACGGCGAGAAACTCGGCGCGACGTTCGCGTAGCTCCACCAGTATCCGAAATCGCAATTTCCATGATTCCGCACGAGATTTCTGCGAGTGCCCAATATTGGGTTTCATGGACTCGCGAGACTCTCCGAGGTTCTCGAGGTACGAGCCCAGGTGCGCCATTTCTCAAGTGGAACACGGTCCGTCGTTCTCTCTGTCCCGCGTTATTGAAAAATACGCACCAGCTGCAACTATCCTCAGTATCTGAATAATTCCCGCGTCACGTAATTATCGAAAGTGGGAGATACCCCGCAATGTCGGAAAATTATTTAACTTAACTTTTAGTAAGATGACTTTTATTACTATTGTTACTAGAATCCGATGATTACGCGGAATGATTCGTAATTGTTATCTGCTTGAATCTTGCGAATTGTTGAATCGTTTTATGCCATTAATGCATCAACGGGATTCGATTATACATTTTTATATAAATATGTTTAACAGCCGAGAAGATAAACAATTTCTTAGTTACTCGTATACAATTCTGTTTACAAAAATTATTAGGAAAGAAAAATTTAATTTTTTGTAATTTCAAAATATATTTGTATTTTTGTCTATATTTTAAGGAAATAATTAATTTTTCATGCTGGAACATAATTTAAATATCAAGCGATATTATTAAAAGATTATTATGTCGCCGGAATTTATCTTCAGGGAGAGAAACGTACATCTTTGCTCTTCGAATCTCCTGATTCAATCTCGCAATTACATCCAACGCAATGCGCTACGTCCTACATAGTTATATGGCGGCATTAGCATACTGATCTTAATTAGCAATTAATCTACTGGGATTCTGTACGTCCACAATGGAGTGGTATCGAATGTGATCCGGGGAGGATCAAGCAGGGTTAAGGCGATTGCTTCCTCCTCGGCGGGGGCCAATCAAGCGACTGATGCGGTTCGGGCGATAGAGGGACGTTCTATTTCAAACGAGAAGACGAGCATCTCCTCGAATCGTTGATGGCTGCAACCGCGTCGAGAGCAGACGTGGCAATATCGAATATTCCGAGGGTGGAATAGAGAAGGATCGATATATATAGGTTGCTGCTACAGCAACAAGCTCGATATCGCTCGCACACGGTGCACGAGTACCATTTGCTGTACGCGAGTGGGTGTACCAAAACATTGCCAAAACTCGCACTCATCTCTATGAGAAACCCACGTGTTACTATACATGTGTAGACGTAACGCAGTTTAATATAAACGGATTACACGATGCGGTGTGTGCGAAGAACCAAACGCAGATTACGCGGAATATGTGTTTCACCTCATCCGTCTTTCCTAAACAATTTAGTGACGTATTTCAAATCGACCTCTTGTTAGGAACTTGATCGAGACGCGTTGCAATGTCTCAGATGTAATTTTTATTTAGAAAACGTTGCTTCAGAGCGAGTGGTGGTCAGGGAATAAACGTAAATAACGTCCAAGTAATCAATTTAAGACCATCGGAAATGGTCACCTTCTTTTTTACGTATACGATCACCTAGGGTATTTTTACATTCCAATAAAAAATTACTCTTATTAACAATATGTTATATATTATTGTATATATTGCATAATTTTGTATATTATTATTTTCCAATTTATTAGTATTTGTGAAAAGATTATGGATATAGATTTACTTACAATTTTTTGAAAGAAGTAAATATAGAAATCAAACAAACGAATTAAGCATGTTAAGTAGCTTATTACGACATTAATATTTCTACAAAATAAAGACGGTAATTAATAAAATGGTTTTCTTACTTTAGGGTGTGTTTTTGAAGAAATTGCATATTTAAAGGTTCATAAAGGATAGTTATTAAAAAAGAAAGTAAAGAATTGTTAGAAAAGAAAGAAAATATGTTAAATAAAATTCATTTTACAACAATTCACATCTTTTGTTGGGATATAAAAACACTCCAGGTGATTAATCCCGGGTTAAGCAAGGCGTTCGTGATAAATTATACTTATTTCAGTATTAAAATTTTATATAGAATATACAAGTACCAATATTTATACCCACCAATAATCATTGTGCTAAATCAATTATATCGCTCTTCGATCTAAACTTTCAAAAGTTAAATTTTTAGTTTACTTGAGAACAAAGTACAGTCGCAGTAACGCATATGTATGAGTTAAATGTAAATATATTAATATGAAGCTATAAATTTCCTTTGCATTTTCCTTGTATTTCCTCTGCTCGGCGATTCCCACCGGAAATTTGTCGAAACTGCCAGGAACGCCGGGATAAATGGCGACATTTGGCTCGCATCGTTTGTCTTCTCAGTGACCGCGTGGGATTACGCGACGTATCCGTCGAAGGTGATTATAGTCTCATCGACGAACTGTCGTTCTGTTGCAGGCTCGAGCACACATAAAAACGACGCGACAGGAAATGGAAGGCCAGCTCCCCTTTTGGCTGAGCCAAGATACGGCGCCGCGCCTCAACCGTATGGTGAGTACCTGTCTGTCTATTTGTCCGTCTGTCCCATCCAACCATCCCGTCTGTTCGTACCTAATGACCAAATTAAGCTCACCGGTTCGGAAAATAGATGGCTCGGGTCATTGCAGCTTTTTCACGAACACATGTAAAGAATGAGAACAGATTAATGGAGGGCCGACGAAGTGCGGACCGACGTCGTTACTGAGAAGGAAAAAAATATGTTTGGAGCATTTGTTTGCAACGCATGGAAAGAAAAATTTATCTCGGCGAACCTTTCTTGCGGGAAATACGCATTGGAGTTATCACGAAAATTATTCACTTTCCTCGCGCAAGGAAAGATTTTTCGTAAATCGAAGAAATTTTGCTACGACGTTTTCTTCGTAGGACAGCCAAAACGCACGTAGAGCTTGTTATTTCAACAGAAGTTAAATGTTAATAAAAGGCCAAGTGCAAACATACCTACCACATTTCTCAGAGGAATACTGCGAATTTATTCGTAACCCAAGTAGCATTCATAACGACAGCATATGCAATGCAAATTCGGTGGCTTTAATTATGACGATGAATAGACTGAGCAGAAAATTGAAAGAACTGCCGTTCTTACAAAATGCACATATTTCAACTGAAAAATGGTTTAGAAAATGTTCATCGGAAAATGTGTAATAAATATTTACGCAAGACATCTTTCGAAAACGTTTATAAAACGTAAAAAATTAAATGGAATTACGTATACATTTAAAAAATTGTTCCTATTTAAAGGTTATAATTTGAGAATTTGCACGTGTCAAATTTGCAATCTAAAAATCAGAGGATTTCACAGAAATAATTTCTCATCTTTTGCTAGTGCAACAATTGTAATTACGAGATGTAAATTTTCACATCTCGTAATATCATAAAATAGAGATTAACATCGTAAAAAAAGAGCTCTTGTCTCAAATATATGAGATAGATTTAATAATGCAAGAGCGAAATTGTCACGTAAGTGACACGTGACGCTGTTGCTGCATCGACCTGCATTCGAACTGTTGCAGCCGGCGCTGGTGGCGGCGACGGATTGCATTCTTCCGTAGACGGCGTCTAAACTGTTGAGCACCTAATATTGACCCCGGGAAAATAATTCCTCTTCGATACAGCACGGTCTAATACTATCGCCGTAAGTCAACGCCGGGTGACCGCGATCCCGTTGCGATTTTGACAGGAAATCGATGAACCGTACGTAACATTGCGCGCCTGCAATCGAAACCGCTCTATGAGCCTCTCGTTGCGCGATAGTTGTAATCCGATAGTGGAAAACATTATCGTAACTTACCGCCGCGTGGCAACATACTTTTCCCAATAGTCCTCCAACATTCTGAATCGACACCATTTGTCGCAACATTTAATACCTGGCTACATACGGCTGACAAAGCGTTGCATTACCATTTCAATTGAGCTGTCAGCTCAAATTACTCTAGTTGAAGGTTGAACTGTTAAGTTTGGTTTTCTCCTCGCTCTCTGTATTATTATATTTTATTATGTTTTATTCGCTTACTTTCTGTGTGAAACATAGATTTTCAAACTCTACGAATTTATAAATAGTTTCCGGAGAGCAGATTCTTGCTAAAGACTTTTCCCATTTAAAAAAATTAGTGCTGAGTTAAGCTAATGCTTTGTACTAAGATTAATTCTTTAAAAAGCATTAATTTAACCAAGCACTAGGTTTTTAAATAGGAAAAGTCTTTTCGCAAGAATCCGCTCTCAAAAAATTATTTATGAATTCGTACAATTCGAAAATCTATGCTTCATAGAAAGAAAGCGAATAAAATACAATAATACAAAATAGATAGAAAATAAATAGAAAATAGATTTATGTGTGATAGTAAGATTTATTATGACTCATTATTTTATTGTATTCTTTGCCTCAAAATATGAATGTTGAGAGTTCATGTTTTAGCACCACTATATATCTTTACCACTGGCTTTACTATCCTATAAAACTTAATAAATTACTCAATATTCATATAAATTATGAAGCATCGTTTTTCAAAGACTCAAGTAAAGCAGACAAAAAGTAAATTGACTCTGTTCCTTATAATTCATATATCAAATACCGGCTAGCCGGAGTTATTATGAATTAAGCAACCGTACCACGTTCTCGAGCAAGGTCGTACGTGTACCCAATATGAAATTCGCGAAACATCCTCGCGACGTGCCGATTTCGCCGAATGCGCGTGTCCGTCACGGTTGACGATGAATAACCACCGACAGTGGTATTTCGCGCGCGTCATTTATCTCGCTCGTCCACATCTGTAGTTTGGTGTGCATCTGCGATTCCAGGTTCCACGCCGCAGGTCACCTTCCCGCCGGGAGCTGGTCACGATCGTTACGAGGAGAACTTCAACGGACCGGCGACGTATGCGGAGCCGTACGTCGAGCGTTACGGCATCAAGAGCGATTTCAGTGGCCGTGAGCCGTTACATCCCACACCACCTCGGCCGGGTTATGTGCCCACCTTGGGCCAAACGCCGCCCTCCAGCACGCAAGGCTCGGTCATGATGGTGTACGGACTACAACCGGACAAAGTCAATACCGACAAGCTCTTCAACCTGTTCTGCCTGTACGGCAATGTGACGAAGGTACGTGGCGGATCTTCAGCTCCCTTGTCTTCCCGTATTACTAACTCTCCCCCGAACCTTTGTGCGATGCCCGTAGTGTTTAGAGCGTTAAATGGAACGAGCTGGTAGGACCGAACAAAAGGGTCGCATGACTTAATTATCGCTACAGTACTTCGCGTTAACACGGTAGGGCCATTGACGTCCCTTACACGACACCGTACCTACGTTTAACGACGACCAACAGATTCTAGTTTCCATGTACGTTTATACATTTAACAAGGATTAGCGTGAGCGCATGTGTTTATATTTAACAAGAGCCAAATTTCCGCGCACTGCTGTACGGATCATAAATGGTCCCTTCATTAAACACGTAGCTTTTGATCAAACACTGAGAGTGATTTAAATGTTGAATAATATATTCTCGCCGATGAATTATTATTGAAGCTATTAGAAAATTTATATAAATTGCACGACGGACATCGAATTCTTTTAAGACTACACAATCGATTACTTTGACCTATTCGTAGTCGGTTCTTACATTTAACTTTTCGGTATCGTACTACAGAAATGACACACTTGGATGTGGTATACCCAACCCAATTCGATTGCTTATAATTTTATAAAAATGAATCTATTTTAAACCATTCTTTTTTTCAATTGGAACGTCAGACATTAAGGACATTAAGAAACATAATAGTACAAAGTAAATGTACGTTTTTGTATTAATAAAAAAGTTATAAGTAATTATGGAAAAACATTGGAAAAAGTATTAGAAAAAAAGAGATATGTCATATCCAGAGAGGCACCGAAGGGGATTAAGATCATGATATCTTAAATACAGTCTTAAGATATCATAAACTAATCATAGAGCCATATTAGCTTCTTAAAACATTACTTGAGGCTATGGCACACAAGAAAACTAAAACAGTAAGACATAAGCGGTAAACAAATCAATATTTTGAATTTGCTACTTACGTTATTGCCTAACGTCTCTATTGCGATTGGCCGATTCACTTACTGCTTACATCTTACTGTCTTATGTTTCTGTATATCATAGCTCTAACATCTTGAAATAAGAACCAATTATGAATACCGGTCTCTAATTCTCTAATAAATTATCATTAAAGGGTGCGTTCAAGGAAACTTATTAGCACTGTTTGTATCATTCTATCCTACGTCTAATGAACGTAAAAATAGAATGACACAAATAGTGCTGATAGCATTTCCTAAAGAACACACCCAAAGAATCGATTGCATTTGTCATTTCGCATGTCTCGTGAGCGCTGTATGCCTTCTGTTATCCGAGCTGTAAACTTCAAGCTGTCTGTCTCTTTATCGCAGGTTAAATTTTTGAAAACAAAGGAGGGCTGCGCGATGATACAAATGGGAGACAGCATAGCTGTAGAACGGTGTCTGCAGAACCTGAACAACGTCACGATCGGGACGGACGGCAGGCTACAGCTTGGCTTCTCAAAGCAGGCCTTCCTCTCGGACGTAACCAACCCTTACATTCTACCCGACAAGACAGCAAGCTTCAAGGACTTCACGGGAAGTAAGAATAACAGGTGAGTCCTTACGCGCGCGTTAACTTTTCACTTCGTTTTATCCTCCTGTCTTTTTTCGCTCTACTCGCCCGCATCCGCACGTTGAAGACCATTTATCTTCGCTTGATCTTTCTTCCATTCTCCATCGCGTTATTTCTCGCCTTTATATGTATATATGGGGCGCGAGAAGAGTATATATAAATTTCCGTCGTGGAGATGCACGTTCAAGTTTTCTCGGCAACAGTTCCTTTCCTCGCCATTTAATCGCACGTTTTATTTGCGAGCTCGCGCGTGACAAATTCGTGCGGTGTAAAACGATCCATCGCAGCTTCGTATTTAACGCCTCGTCTACGATGCAGCGGGAGAATTTATTTTGTTATAAGCGTCAGTAATTGATAAAATTTTCGCCAAATTTTAGCACCTAAAAAATAAAAGTAATTATAAAGAAAGCAATATGTTTAAAGCAAAAGTTTTTATGAACTATTAGGCCACTATTTGTCACTTTTTATTTAAAAATATACACAGAATAAAATATGCAAATAATAAAATAGGACTATATTGTACTTGTTGAAAATAAGATATTGTGATGTTAGCCAGTTTTGAAAAGTGCTTATAGGGAGTTGTGCTCATGGTGACTTTTCATCAGGAGAACAGTATATCAAATTTTCAGTCAATTCCATCGAAATTCAATAAGAATTGTTCTTTCTAATAGATTATGTTTAAGCAACAAATGTATTAAGCTTCCAAAAACATCCCTCTTATTTTGTTACATATGTATTACAGGCAATAAAATGTATCGGAATATCTTTCTCGCTCCCTGCCTTGCAAGATTAGGTTCCTGTCAGACGTATCGATAGGTTTATAATAAATTGACCTGTCTATCCGTCACACTGCGAAGTCGTCGATCTTAGAAAGTACGGGTGTCTCGATAATGCGGTCCTCCTTTATCGACTTATTCCCATCATCATCCCTCGCACGGTTCTTATAGAGCAGTAGAACGGTAACGAAGAATACGGGACGCGTACAGTGCGATCTGGCAAATTGCGACGGCACTCTGTGAGATTAAACTCGGGAGACTAATTAAATGAGGACACGTAAACGAGCGCGATTTAAATCTCTCCGCTCCGGGTGAACGCTGAAAACCTCCACGGTCCCCTCCCAGTTGGAATCGCGCGGCCTTGTCCCCAGTCACGCTCCGAGATGCGGACGCGCTCGAGCGGAAGAATCAAATCTAAAGGTTGAATAGGAGCTAACGACACCACCGCGATTTCATGTCTGGACCAGCGTGCCAGGATGGCCGCCCATCGGTCGCTCAAAAGGGTATGCCTGATGATATCCGGCTCGCCAATTAAGTTCCAACTCTTCACATTCGTGCGTAAAAATCGCGTAGTCAGGAAAGAGAAATTCGGTTTGTTGTGTATGTATTTGAAAAAAGCGGCGAGTATAAAAGTGATACAATAAGATCGAATTAAACAATACAAATTCTTATATCTTTAAGATTCTAATGAATATAAATTCAGTAACTATTAAATATATATATCAACAAATACATATCAACAGTGATAAAAACTGTATTACATGTTAAAGTAATACAATTAAAACAAACGTTTCGACCTTTAATAAAAACCGGATTAATTAACAGCTGATTTTATAAAAGAATACTCTTCCTTTTTACTTGATGACTATCTATTGCCCAAGAATAATTATTACTCGACAATGGAACGTTGCAGTGAACGCGTTAAGCAATTTATTTAAATTAAAATTTTCAAAATTTCCCCGTGGACTCTCTTCCTCCTTGTATTATTTTAAAATTCTCTACTTTCAACTTATCTTTAAGTCTTGGCACCTCATTTATTTAAGGTGATTTTGAAAGAGCTTATTTAAATTGCGCTCAAGCATGTCCCACGGCAAAGTAATTCATTAAACTGAATAATTTAACAAAGTGAGAAAACACAGTTCGCGTGATACATGTTTTTAAGGAGTAAAGTCGCAGGAAAAAACGTACTCTACCGGCGAAACGTTTTGAACCGATGAAAAACTTAATCACCCGTAGGGAAGCGGAGTCCCCGCCTTGGACGCGTGAGCTCTGATTGCAAGAAGTCAATCACAAAAAGTTTCCCAAAGCTCGCGAAAGACAAACTGCGCGCCAGAAATGTTCTCCGCAGGACATTTTCCTCCTCCGTTGTGGAAATCCGCTTTCCTTCACGTAATTGAGGGCCTAGAACTGTAAGCTGACATTTTTGTTGAGAATAAGATGGCGATATTGCACGGAACGTAAAAGAGAGCAATTCTACCGGAGGCAGGCATATTCCCCTCGAGGCTTCATCAAAGCTGTCCGCGAAGAAAGAAGAAATAAAGAGCAACGTTACGATATTCTTTAATTTTGTTCTAATAATACTTCTTTGTGTTTCGAGATGATGAAACTGTCCGTTTGCAGCTTTTTGCAAATCTCATAATACTCTGATATATATATATATTTTATTTAGTTTGAAACTCTTTGAATGATGAAATATCATTGCCGCTCAAAAGTTGTGAGCATTCTATAATATTTAAATATTACTCTACAATATTTAAATAAAATCACGATTCTTTACAGATATAATTTATTGAAAATATTAATTTTTATTTTTGAAAGAAAATTTAATTAACTTTATTTAATAATATTGTAAATTTATAAAGTTTTATATTGTTTTGATATTAAATTTTATTTTGTACACTAATAAAATTTATAATTAAAAAAGTACAAACTTTTGTACATTGACCATAAATAAAATTGAATAAACTTTCTTTTTAAATTTAGAGATACTCCAAATTTAGTGTATCTACCCATCCAATCATCGTAAAAATTGAACGAAAATATTAAATGCGTTTGCTACTCTCTTTTTTAAAAACTAACGAACGAATCGACTGACATATTCGCTATGATAATTTATTATTTTTTTTATTAACGATATTTCCAATTGACAGAACCTACAAAAAAAGATTTGCAACTCAGAAATTCAGTAAGTTATGAAATTTTAACAATACATAGATCAGTGTCTTGAAATATAATATGCTATTTTTTTGTTGTTTGAATTCACGTTAAAAGGATACAATTAATTTCTGAAACTGACCCTGCTTTTGTTTACGTACATGTTTTTTAATTCTTTAAACATTTGATAAGTTTTTTAATATCAAATAAATAAATTCAATCGACAGTTGATAAATTTTTTAATATCAAATAAAAATAGATAAGTTTCATAAAAAAAATTTTTTTCTATGTAATAAAATTTTGTTTTATTTCCTTTTGTTAGTAAATAATAAAACAAAAACGAAGAATAGACCAATTTCCAAAAGTTTATTTTATCTGTTTAGAATGTATTCGATAGCCAAGAAAATAACACATAACATCAGGACATTCTCTATGTATTTCAGATATGAAATTTTTTGAATTTCCAAATTGTTAATCCAGAAATATTAGCCGAAAAAATACGTGTAGTTTCTCGATGCATGCGTAATTATTAATAGATAAATGCTGAATATAACAAACGTAATTATTCAATTATTCGTAATTATTCAAAGAAGCCGCTTTTTTCGCTGAAGTCTTCTACAATATCCGATTTTCAATGTATCATTGCAGATTCCTGAATCCTGCGATGGCCAATAAGAATAGAATACAACCACCATCGAAGATAGTTCACTTCTTCAATACCCCACCGGATTTAACCGAGGAAACAGTGAATCGCGTGTTTGTGGAGCGCGGCATCGAGGCACCGACGACGATCAAGCTGTTCCCTCTCAAGTCTGAACGATCGTCGTCCGGTTTGATCGAGTTCAGCAGTGTCGGTATCGCGGTGGCCGCTATCATGGAATGCAATCACACGGCGCTCGAGAACAGCAGTAAGTATCGACATACGATCGCGCACAATCGTAAAACTCAGATTTCTCTCGCGCAGCGTTTCTTGGTGAGATAGCAGTCATGAGAATTTTACACGATTATGATATCCCGCAGTTGGTCTCGATGCGACTTTATCGCTTATTCGTTCGATTTGGATTCTCGATTTGGAATTTCACTTCCCTCATTCAGGTTTACGATTCTCTTCATACTATAGAAGTTCGCTTAGCTTCCATTTATATTTCTCTTCTATGATTTTTGACGCGATCGTTTTTGTATCGAAAAGTAAAGCTAAGGGAACGAATTACCGTAGACATAAAAGTTGTCGAAACGTTCGGAAGGGATATCGATAAGTATTTGATTTTTTTTATATATGAAAATTTTATATATATGTACATATATCATACACTGAAAAAAATGCATGTAATTTTACATGGAAATTACATATCCATGACTAGAAAACCTAAATATGATTGAAAATTTACAATTTCCTGTAAATTTCCAATCATATTTAAATAATTTAAAAATTTTCCAGTCATAGACATGTAATTTCCATGTAAAATTACACGCATTTTTTTCAGTGTATGTATCAGTTTATTGTTCTCGAAATGTTTAATCAATCTCTTAGAAACATAAACGGGATAATAGTCAAGATTAATAGCAGCAACATCGTAATAATTAATCAATCAATGAATAGGGTCGCAAAACATAACTCATCTAAAGCTCTGATTTTCTCCAATAATCCTGCTAATTAGCGAAAGCTGTCAGACTCCAGGAACTTGAAAGGAACGTCGTTTGACACGAGCGATCTTGTCGACTCGACAGTCCCTTCGCTAGCGAGTTCGACAGCAAGATATTACAAGGCGGTCCCCTCGCCGTGCTTATCTGTTGCAGACGGCAAATTCCCCTACATCATGAAGCTCTGTTTCTCGTCGTCGCGCACCATACCCACGAGCTTCCCGCCCAACAGCGGCAGCGTGTCGAGCAATTCCGCTGGTAATGGCCACGCCAAAATGCAGCAGGACTCGGAATAGAACGGCGAGGTCCAGGGCCAGCAGCGTCAGCGTCAGCGCCAGCGCCCCTCACTCGCCGCCCTGCACCCGTTGTGTGCCCCCGCGACGGCGGGCACGGCCCTGCACCCCGCAGCCGCAGCAATAACGCTGTCCCCAGTCCTACCGCCGCCGCCACCAGTACCACCACCTCTGCCGCCACCCACCTGTCTCCTAATAGCCACCCCGACCCTTTATCCAACCGTACCACCACCACCCCCACCTCCATTGCCTACCTTCTGGCCCTATTAATACGGCGGGCCCACACATCAGGTGGGTGAGACGAACGTACGCGAGATCGGCCGAGAATGGACTCTCCAAAAATGAGAAGAATAATCGAGACACATCCCCGCAGCGAAAAGGAAACGTACGTCGCGATGTCGTTTATTTTTGATCGAAGGCAACAGACGGTGAGACAACCAGGCGTTCTGTGGCTGTCCGCCGAGGTCTACCGGGTTTGGAAAGGGTCGCGTGTATTCTTGGACATGCTCTCAAAGTCTTCGTCCCGTCGTGGTCGAAGGCTTAGGAAAGTTTCCGATGGTATAGTAGTGTGTAACTTGATGCCTAATAGTACCGTGTTCCACTAGAGACACGTTGTCAACGCCGGTCGGACATGGGACTCGGCGTCCGACGGGAGGTGGGGTACAAGTGCAACGACACGTCGGAGGGAACATCGGAATAGGTACTGTTGAAGTCACAGGGAATCCTTCGCGGCCGGCTGGTCACGATTTTCGCGACGTCTCGCAGGGTAGGGCGAGACGGATGACACGTACGCGCCGCGTTCCAATTTTGGAGACTCCTGTAAATAGCTCGGAGACTAGCAACCTCCGACGCGCATACATATCAAAGGGCTTGGAAGTAAATCGGTACGTTTCACGAGGAACCATGCACGCGATTTTCGTAGAAACTTCTCACTCGACGATTCGGCACCGATGCTGAGGAATTTGAAAAAATGAGAACCGTCCCGAGCAAGGCTGTGAAACCTTCTTACAAAAAGAAACGATTCAAAAGAAAACGATCTGAGGAGGATAGAAACTTGTTGGATGAGAGAAGAAGGTAAAATACTCCATTAGCTAAGAGAGAGAGAGAGATGAGAATGGCTCGACGATAGTAAAGCTGTCTTGGAAAAGAGGCAGCTCGCAGGAAGTTTAGTTCCTTCGAAAGAGAAATCGTTCAAGAAAGTTTGAAGACATCTCTCGGAAGGGAGTTAAAAATACGATCTATCAGAAAAGGAGAGGTGATAGAGTATTCGTAGAATGACTGAAACAAGATGGAATCCATTTCCTGATGGCCATCAAAAAGGTACCAGTCTATAGATCTCTTTGGTGGTAGCAGAATAGCTCGAGGACGGTTCAACTTCTTTGGAAGAGGAATCGCCCAAGGAGGATCGAACCTCTCAGAAGAGGGGCAGCTGAGAAGATCGAGAAAATCCTCTCGGAAGAACGCGATTCGTGGAAACTGAAAGCCGTGCCGAGTTCGAAAAGTGCGGAATCTCTCGTGGTTGCTCGCGAAGCAGACAGGTGGGCGCTGCTTCCGCGAAGCCCGGACATATATATGACGTCTCGGCGTTCTCACGACCGCGACGAGACGCTCTCTCGTTCGTTCGTTCACGTCTCACGATCGACTCACCCAAACTTACGGCGTCGCGCGCGACGTCACGACATTTATTCTGAAGCCGAGCCACGCGCTCCTCGACGACCATACTCTGTGGGATCCAATAAACGAACCGGAGATTTCTCAGCGACCACTTATTAAACATGGGAATAGAATTTTAGGAGAGTGTTCAGAGGAATGATCTGAATCAATCGTGCTCCGAAACCTGCGAGAACGCAGCCAATCCGCTTTGAGTGTCACTGATAACACGCTGCTCTATCGTCGTGATAAGCTCGGCCCGCGACAAGTGTCGCGCGGCATTGTTTTTCTCACAGTTTTTACTGTACATCTATTTTTTACATTAACGTTAATATTTTAACACTCATCCGGATAACCTGATTTTGTAATTCAGATAATGATTTCTTATTAGAACTCTTTGACAGACGTTAACGTAGCGATATTTCATTCATTGCAAGATTTCCTGTAACAACATTGTAATCTACATAAAGCAACTGTTGCATATATATAGTTCTTCTCTGCAATTTTTGAACTTATTCTTTAATCTACTGTTACTAAAGAATGCGAAGATTTTTAATTGGGGCCATAATCGTATTTACAAACGAATTTGAACTAAGCGCTTACATTACTTTTGCTTTGTGGGTTACCATGTTGTTATACCAAGTAGATTTAGATTACCGAATCTAATTGCAAATTTTATTTTAATTATGATACGATTGCGTTTTGCTCCGTATCAGAAAATAAAAAAGATTTAAGAACAATTATTATATATTATTTGTCAATAATTGTTACATAAAATTATATATATATGCATTCATATATTCTTTTGAATTTAAACTTTGTTGCGTTACAGCTTCAGAATTTATAATTTAAAGAGAAGAAAAATAAAAATCGCCATTTTTTATAAATGACATTTTCAGTTGAAGAAAAGAATATTGATTCGTTGCAGGCAAAAAGAATCACTTGCGCGAAAATATAATTTTGTTGACTTCGGTTACCCGGATAAGAGTTAATCCGGTCGAACGTTACGTGACGTAACGTAATTGTTCGTCACGTTATTGACTTTTTGCTGACTGGCAATGCAAAAGTCTTTCAGCTGCTCCTCGGTTCTATTTTCGTGCGAGGCTTTTCGCGGGTCCTAAACGTTATAAAATCGTGTAGACTGCTATCAATTAAGAGGACTAAATCGTTTCCACTATCCTCACCTACATCTCCGCTTCTCAAATCGAATAAACGAAGGAATCCCCGGCCCATCTTCCTTCCCCTCCCACTTGAAGCTGTAGTGTTCAGGTTGCGACGAGACGACGTATCGGTGCTCGCACGCTCGAACGAGCCGCGTGGCACTCGCGTACACTTTTGATCAGATTGCGGACTGCGAATTGAGAATTTTATATATCGAAGCAAAAAAAAAGAATAAAAAACACATACACACGATAATAAAGAACAATGAACGTCGACGACACACACATAATATATTAGTGTCCCTCGGTAATATTTTGTCGGGCCGAGGGGCGTTTTTATAAGAATGGTTTTAGATCTCCGAACAAATTTTGCGAAGCGAACCAAACGATTCTATTACTAAACTAAAATAAATAGACTCTTTGACTTCTCGGCCATACGTAACGTAAGATAATAAGGGCCGAAACGCGCGCGCCCTTGAGAGATGCGTGAATATCAATACCCGCCGTTTTGTCCATTGTCCGTGAGAGAGAGAGAGAGAGAGAGAGAGAGAGAGAGAGAGAGAGAGAGAGAGAGAGAGAGAAGAAAGAGTGGGAGAGATAGAGAGAGAAAGAGAGACCTAATGCAAATGAGATATAATTTAAATAAGAATACAAAGTTTATATTCGAGGCAATATTTGTTATAATACGACTAGGGGATAAGTTGTGTGTACCGTTTTAAAAAAAAGGGCTTCGGCCGAGCGACCGCCTACGGGGACGATCCCCGCGACGATCGCCGACGGCGAAGAGGATGCTGAGACCGTTGTCGATCATATAAGGGACGACGTATCGACGCAGGGAGAAACGCGTGAATGCGAAAACCGTAAAAACAATGAATAAAACAAGAGGTACTAAGCTAAAACGACGCGCGCCACTTCATCGCACGTCGCGTTCGTCGTTTCGTTATCGCACTTGGACTCACGGTTGCGTTTGTGTCTCCAACGATAAATAGATTATTTTATCTCGGGAGATACTCCTCTCCGGGGGAGAAGTGAAAAATTGTTTTACATCACATTCTTATATTTTTATTATATATTATTAATATTATTATTCTGTAATTATACATGTAAAATTTAGATCGCCCGTAGAGAGTAAACGTCACGTTTTATCCGAGGAGCCCTTCGAAATTTTGATTTAGTAAAACAGGACCTAAGACTTAAGGCAAATTAGATTCTAAGCAATTTAGGACGTGTAACCATATCATACAGTTTTGTAGATAAATATATATAAAATACACACATATATATATATATATTTATGTGATGCGGAGTACGGCGTTTAAATCAAGAGTGTATGTCGCTGCGTACTCGATACTCACTCGATGGATATTCGAGATGAAATGATTATTCTGTCATATAATTTCTCGAGGCTGCACTTCCGAGTAAAAAATCCATTCGATTCCAACTTTGCATATTTTAGAAAAAGCCAATTCATGAAATCTTTCTCAATCTCTCCTAAAGAAATTTTTCTTAAATATAAATTACACTAGTCAGAAATTAAGCAATCAAAATTACTTAATACTATTCACGCGAATATATAAGCCTCTTTCCTTTTACTCAATTTAATATTAAAATTTCTTATATAAATCTTATAGAATTTATCATTACTTTTACTCGCTTTTTTATCTATTATCTTTATGTGTCTTTATTTCTTCATTCACGTAATAAATTAATGAAAAAAGCGAGGAGAGAGAGAGAGAGAGAGAGAGAGAGAGAGAGAGCATAAAACCAATCGCGTCTGTTTTTCTAATAAATATAAGTAAATGTAATTCCAGCTTACTCTTTCTTTAAAAAAGAGAGAGAAAGACGGAAACATATTTTCCTTTTCGAGAAATTGTATAGCAGTAATGTCTCGCTTTCTGCGACATCTCGGCGGAGCTACACTTTCATGCGATGAAAATTTTGTTCCGAGCGGGCGCGTCTTAAGAAACGCTCGCTAAATCGAGAGATCGAGCACGTACAACCAGACTATCGCTTATTTTCTGACACTTTACCCGTGCGCTAAGACTCCGGTAAAGCAAGAAACGTACGTAGAACGTATTTACAACGAACGCTCGCTTAATACACACTCGTCCCGGTCGCCGCATTTTCGATCCGGCGCGAAAACGCGCAAACGGGGATAGAGTTCCAGGTGTGTCCCTTCCTCCCCCTTCCCCATCACCGACGATCGACTTTTATATTTAACCCTTTTCCGCGTACACGCCAAGCATAATCAGAACAGAATGTAAAATAAAGAGAAACCAAAAACCGCAGACCGAGTCCTAAACTTGGCGATTTATAGACGAGACTGATGATTAGGTATTAAACGAGATCTATAGATTAATTCGAAGAGGAGAAGAATAAGATGAGAGCAAAAAGACGTAGTTAATATCGTAGTTGGCAGAAAATTTTCTGAGAATAACTGTTTGTTTCCGTCGCGATAGTGATTGGTCGGATGGAAAGGGGTTAAATCTAAAGAGATACATAACGTAAAATTAAACGAATATATATTATATACATATATATCATTTCGAGTACTGTGCATCAGAAGATGACGAGCCTCGCGTAAAATGGGGCGAGAAACTCATGGCTTGCATATCAACCCTCGACTGAAACACCTACGTCGGTTACAGAACTGACGCCGCAGAATTCCCGGGGGATTGTACCGTACCGTAATTGCGCGCCGTAGCCGTATCGAAGGAGTTACGATCGGGGAAACGACGACAGATGTGTCCACGGACGGCAACGTGGAGATATTCGGTCGTTCCATAACGTGTAACACCAAGGTTTGCATTTTCGCGTAGTCACCATTGAGGGATTTAATCCTTACGGATCGACGCGATAGGCAAATGACAATAGAGACAAACGTTCCTTAACAGGATTAAATCTGTTTACGGTGCTTACGTTAAAAAGAAAAAAAAAATATTGCTGTCACTATAAGGGACACGTCTGATTGATCGAAGCGGAGTAGGCCAGAAGAAATTTAAACTCGAGCTAATAACATTCTAAATGTAATCCTCGGGATCCTGCCGTTGCAGTTAAAGGCTGAAAGAGGGGAGGGGTAGCACGTAGATAGACATAGAAAAGACATACGTTTACGATGTAAGATTAATCGCGCGTCTCTTTCCAGTGGACGAATGGATGTACATAGCTTACTCATGTTTTTCTTTTTTTCTTTTTTGGTACGAAGAGGACCC